ATTCTGTATTACTTCGTCTGCACGCCAAGACATTAAAACAGTTGTTTTGAAAGCCTTTCAGTGGTGCGCCTATCGATTAACGACCGGCATGTATCATTCTGTCTTTGTTTTTATAGATATATATATTTTTTGAGAATATAAAGTACTTTATTGGCTTCCTGCACTACTAGTGACTTCAACAACTATCACATATATCGCCCAACCTACTTTACATTGGTTTCAACAGTACTATCGTTAACATTTCTCTTATGTTTAACTAAACTACTTTCATGTAAGGTTTTGCACTTTTGCGAGGGGCATTTTTTCGTAGCTAATGACTAAAGCTTTCTATTCTGTACTTAAATAAGACTTTATTAACAAAGACAGAAAGGTAAATAGCTTGGTTATGCATCTTACTGGTGTATATGTAGTATTTCATAAATAGGATTAAATTAAATTTCTTTAATATTTCTTTTTCGCATGGGCCAGATATGATACCAAATAGTTTCTCTTCAATTGTTAGAGCAAATGTTGAGCTGTTAGCAGCGTTAAACCAGTCAATTACGTTGTTCACGAAAATCTTTACAAATCGACAGTTAAGAAAAGATCAATTGAATCTCTCTCACATTGTCTTTATAATACCCCGTCACGGCACAATGGTAGAAAGGTTATAAGCTATGCCTAACCTCAGGCCTTCGAATGTCTCATATATGAATTAGAGGCAGAAACATTCATAGGCCTAGAACGATCTCCTTAAACTCACGAATCTCAGTCGAAATTTGTAACCATCCGCTGAAGCGCTCACCACATTCACCAACTTTGTCTTTTTCACAGATGGCACAGCCTGACAAGCTTTACGCGCGCTTTCTAACCGACAAACATCACGAACAACCTCCACAAGCGCCGCCGGTTCACTCATGAAAACCTTTTCTCGTAAGTCATCGCTGATTGCCACTACTTGAATAAACTGATCTCTTGCCAGTTCCACCTTGAACGAATAAGCTGCCTCTGGGTAGGCATTTTCCACTAGCTCCATCAAATTATCGCCAAATGCTTCGAAATCCTCATTCGACCTTTGATACCTGGGACCCGTTTCTCGAAAGCCCCGGAACCTTTTCGGGCTCTGAAAGCCATAACAAAATCTCGAACCTTACAATTACAGGGCTGTTTTATTCACATATTCTTAATATAAACAGAGGATCCCTTCATACACGAAGTTTCAGGCGTATACACTTCTCCGTTTTTAGATACAGATGAACTAAAAATGGCTTTACGGGCCCGAAAAGTTTCCTGGGCTTTCGAGAAACGGGCCCCTGGCCCGTAACTGCAATTTATACCTGTAATCTTCCTTCGCCTTGCCCGAATCAAACCTTTGAACCAATTGTGACGTGAATTCCTCGAAGGTTAACGATCCCGAAAGCTTCAGAAGCTCAACCGCTTTGTTNATCTTACTGGTGTATATGTAGTATTTCATAAATAGGATTAAATTAAATTTCTTTAATATTTCTTTTTCGCATGGGCCAGATATGATACCAAATAGTTTCTCTTCAATTGTTGGAGCAAATGTTGAGTTGTTAGCAGCGTTAAATCAGTCAATTACGTTGTTCACTAAAATCTTTACAAATCGACAGTTAAGAAAAGATCAATTGAATCTTTCTCACACTGTCTTTATAATACCCCATCACGGCACAATGGTAGAAAGGTTATAAGCTATGCCTAACTTGAGGCCTTCGAATGTCTCATATATGAATTAGAGGCAGAAACATTCATAGGCCTAGAACGATCTCCTTAAACTCACGAATCTCAGTCGAAATTTTGTAACCATTCGCTGAAACGCTCACCACATTCACCAACTTTGACTTTTTCACAGAAGGCACAGCCTGATAAGCTTTACGCGCGCATTCTAACCGACGAACAACACGAACAATCTCCACAAGCGCCGCCGGTTCACTCATGAAAACCTTTTCTCGTAAGTCATCGCTGATTGCCACTGCTTGAATAAACTGATCTCTTGCCAGTTCCACCTTGAACGAATAAGCTGCCTCTGGGTAAGCATTTTCCACTAGCTCCATCAAATTATCGGCGAATGCTTCGAAATCCTCATTCGACCTTTAATACCTGGCCCGTAACTGCAATTTATACCTGTAATCTTCCTTCGCCTTGCCCGAATCGAACCTTTGAACCAATTCTGAAGTGAATTCCTCGAAGGTTAACGATCCCGAAAGCTTCAGAAGCTCAACCGCTTTGTTGGCTGGTTGATCCAGCAAGCACTTATGTCCAGGATTGAACACAAGTATTTTTTAATTTATTTAGTACTTCATATTTGGCAGGGTTATTTGACATCGTTTCCGGGGCAACGGTACACAATCACTCTTGTCTTATCTCGGCCCTAATGCATTTAACATAAAACAAAATAATATGTGTAATATGTAAAAGTGAAATGCTCAAATTTTTGAGCACTTTCAAAATGGCCAAAAAATCTAGGGGACGTTCTTGCCTGTGGCCTTTCAATTGTCGCAGCAGTTATTTACCTGAGGGAAATTAACACATTAGTGTACATTGTTTAAGGAATATGCTCATCATAGTCATACCAATTTCACTGAACAACATTGGGTTGAGTGCCACGAGTTTGTTTTACATGTTTGCACAGGTTCATACATGGTTGCCTCATGGTATGTCAAAGAGGCGCATTTTATTGGGTCTCTGTAAAGTGAGGACCGGATGACGGCGGATGGCGGATGGCGGATAGAAAAATGCGGATGGAAAAATGCGTAAACATACAATAGAACACTTTCGATATATTAAAATTCAGCTTATCCTGCCAATCTGAAGATGAACCGGCGCTTTCACTAGACAAGCACACCTTCAAGGAAATGGTTAGCAAAGATTTGCAGTCCACTTGCGACAGACACCTTTGCACACGTGTTGTGCACAGTCTTTTGCACATGCGAACACGTACTCTGCGTGCCCAGCAAACTTGTCGACTAGGGTACGGTGGGTATATAGCCGATCTGTGACCGTAGAAGTGTTTCACTTATTTTGAAAATGCTGGTTTTCGGCAGAGGAAATTTTCTGAGAGGTTATTAGCCGAAGTCCTTCGATGTGGTAAAAGACAGAGTCTGAATAATTACTGTTCCTTGATCAAAGTCTTTTCGTGCTTTTTTTTTTAATTTCACTTTTTTCATAATCGGCGTAAAAAATGTTTCGATCTATGAATTCTCT